ATGAACATACGAATAAATAGATAATTAGAAATCTGAATGATTGAATGATTGTATGACTAAATGACTGAATGAGGGAATACATGCTAGGTTTTCACTTAAATTTAAGACTTTTGTTTTAACCATGGGACTGTAAAGCAAAAAGTTGTGGAGCTGTCCTATAGGCTTCTCCGGTGAACAATAATTGTTCCAGATGGGAGCTTTTTCTAGAATTTTCAGAGATAGAAGAAGCGCTACTTCCTCGGAAGTATAAATGAATTCTAGAAATCAAAAATCATCGTGGGCGGGTGAACTGCAAAAAAAAAAAGACATCAACTAACTGAAAAACTTACCCATCATCAAAACTTAGCATCTTTCTTGTTCTATTTACAACTGATTGGTTTATTTTGTGAAAAAAAAAAGTTTCTTTTAACGTAAAATGCAATGGACATTTTAAAATGAAAATATCTTTGCTTAAGTAAAGTTAAAGGTTTAAGAAAGAATAACGAATTATGAAGTGTGTTCTTGCTTTGTTATTTTATTTATTTTCAGAAAACGTGTCTCGATATTGGTAAGAAATGCATGAACAAACCTTGTATTGATTGCAACAATAAATTAATATACAGGGCCGCAGTTAAAATATGCCTAGAGGTAAATAGTCTCCCTCTGACTGGAAGACCGAGGTACCTTCCCATTGCTCCATGGTGATCAATTTTCTTCGAATGTTTCCAATTATGCTAAAGAATGAATGTGATGTAGATGTCATTGGATAGTTGAATAATTTGGAGGAATAAAGCTGATTTAAAAGTTTTCTGAGCTTGTGAGGTAGTTACTTGTAAAAATTCAAACCACAACTATTAATCTAGCAATCTAGTTACCTTCAGTTTATACACTGGGACTCATCAACGGAAGGCCTGAAGTGAACTTATGTTTACAAAAATGTGTTTGAAAACATTCCAATCCAGGTAAAAATTATCCTAACCAAGAGATCAAGGCAGTGGAATAAACAAGAAATATAAATGTAGACTTGTTATTTTTTTTCTTCAAAGATTAATAGAAAGGTTCAAAAGCGTGCAAAACTTTATTTTCAACATCTGAGGGAGCAGAGAAGGGGAATTAGCTAAAAGCCATATTCTACACTCTAATGAGCTGATACAAGTAGTGCTCAAATGGCAGAATTACGGAGAGGAAGCTTCAAAACAATGTCAGATCTCCCAGTTATGACAATTATGACTCTCTCGTCATCTTAGTCTCCCCATCCCCTTTGCAGTGTTGTCGCCCCGCCTCCCCTCCTCCCCAACCCATTCAGCTCCAACAGGGCCTCGCTTATTTTTCTATGACCAGACACGTTGGCTGAACACCTCGAATTATATATAGTATATCGACTTTCGATTTCTCAGCCAAAAGATCACTTAAAACGCATGCACTGATGACCAAAGATTTCTACTTATGACACGAAGACTCAAATAATTTTCACATGCCATGTTCCCTCAGCTATTTCACTTATCTACGATATGTGCCCAACTCTATCGAACTATGCCATGGTTTCATAAAATGTTACACATGGTGATGGTACTGGTTGGGCGTTATCGTGAAACACCCTAAATGGAGGAGCCTGCCAAGACGGAATGGGTGCGTTAAGAGGATTCACGTTAAATTATACGCCATTTAGGTCTCAAAACCGGCTCCTAAGATAGAAAAGATTAAAAATCATAACAAACTTGTCAAAATATACTATATTTATTAACAGTTCTGATTCCAGATCAGTGTCCACTAAATAAAGATATATGCTGAATGTAGGCGCAATTTTCAATAATTAACAGAAGACCGAATTGGCCTCCACGTTTCTTAAAATACATCCAATATTTGTTACAAAAAATTTCCATTGCCCAAATAAGCATAGAAACATTACCAAGTTAAATTTATTACATCCCTTCATACTTGCTTTTACGCGTTTCTGCATCAGTCAGCTCTCGAAGAAGGAATTCTTTTTGCTCATCACTTAAAGCCTCCGAGGTGAAAGGGGGCGGATGGTCAAACTGCAAATCTGCCAAAACTAAAGAAGCGCCGAGAAACAAAAACGTTAACAGAAATAGAGAATTCATCTTGGGTAGAGTGCTTTGCTGTTTGTGATCCAGCCAGAGTTATCTTTTATAAGCCTAGGAGAATTATTCGCACAACCGAGAATATTGAAATTGTTTATTTATGTAAATCTTTAAATACCGCGGCGAGAGAAAATGAGCAGTTTAGCAGGTAAACTGAAAATAAATGTAATGAGAATTTCGAAAACTTGGGAAGGACCTGCCTTTCCTTTTGTAAGCCTAAGAAACTTAATCACATAACCGGAAATACACAACTGTTTATTTATGTAAATCTTTACGTACTTCGGCAAAAAAATGAGGAGTTTAGCGGGTAAACTGTTAAGAGATGTTATGAAAATTTCGGAAATTGGTATCGGTTTCCGTTTGGCGTTTTGTGTTTTGCGAAATAAGCTACACCATACGCTTGCGAATTGTCTATGCGCACTTTACGCGCTCTTCGTCGGTTGAAAATAACTTGTGTTCGTAATTCTGAAAGCGACGCCCTTTACATAGCCCGTTTGCGTCTGTTTCAACGTAACAATTCCCTGAAAATAATATAAGTTATCATTTGCAGAAAGTGACTTTTTTTCTCGGTTCCAACAACCTTGTTAAAACCAAATAACGGTAAGAAGTATTTATGTTGGTACGTTTAATTGTTTTCTCGCGGCCGATGACCCCGCTCTAAATAAACTCATTACCTATTTCCCAAGGGCATAGCGAAAAAAAATCTCATGAATGAACAAAGACTCTTTTGTTATTTCCCTTGAACGATGTAGGAGCGGTAAGCAGTCTTAACTATAAATAGAGTAGACTAAAGTACCTTCGTTATAGTGCCTAGCAAAACAGCCAAGCAAACCAGACACCACCCGTGTGTCCGTTGTGGTCTTTGAGAAAAGAATTCTCAAAATGCAGGCTCAAATCGGGCTAAAAAATTACATCGGTTCCAACACTGATTAGCAAGAGGCATCGATTTGCCTGTTGAGTGATATGAATGATGCAACATCCGCTGTACTTTATTAGTCCCTGAAAAGGGTGCGCCGCTATTATTGCGCAAAATGGAACATCACCCTAATAATAAGCTTCACAGTAAAATAAAATACTATGTTCTCAATTATTACTGGTTGGCTCGTAATGGCAGTTTAATTCTTTTTCCGATCCCACCTGCATTTGTGTCCCCCCCTTTCCCTCTTCATTCTCCCCTTCCCTCCCCCCCCCCCCCCCCTTCACTAAACCAGCATTGGCAGGCCGCGCCGGCTTTTTATTTGAACGGTACGGCAGTAATGACAATAACGGAAATAAAAATAATAATAATAATATAAAACAATAATAACAGTAACTCTCACATCTTAGTTTTTCAAGCATGCGCGGTGGCGGCATCCACGAACGGTGCCACCAGGCCACTGAGTTAAGACCTCTTTATATCATTCAGTTTTTCTCAATTTTTGGTGTTAATGTTGCGTTAAACACTGCCACATCTAGTGCGAGTTTTCTCGAAGCAATCGTGAAGGACTTTGGATTTAAAGTTTTTATATTACATGGTTAGTCACCGCTCGCGGCAATAGAAAACAACAGTAAAAGAGCTGATAAGCGGGAAATTTAACTCTTCGAAGACGTCGAAGTAAATGTAACTTATTGACTTATGATTCTAGAGCTAACCTCTCCTCATAGCATTATATGATAGCTGCATGTAAGAAAGAGCCTCAGATGAGTTTTGAATGCTTTATTCCCCAAATTTTTTTCAATTATCTATGATATCTACGAGATCTTATTTTAATTTCCCATGGTGGTTATGCGACATATGGCATAGCAATTGCAGTGGAGAACGAGATATGATAAGTGCCAAGTAGATATTCAGTTTTAACGCTTCCAAGATGGACGCCAAGTCGGTCGCCAGGTCGGTCGCCAGGTCGGACGCCAAGTCGGTCGCCATGTCGGACGCCAAGTCGGACGCCACGTCGGACGCCACGTCGGACGCCACGTCGGACGCCAAGTCGGACGCCAAGTCGGACGCCAAGTCGGACGCCAAGTCGGACCCCAAGTCGGACGCCAAGTCGGACGCCAAGTTGGACGCCAAGTCGGTCGCCACGTTGGTCGCCAAGTCGGACGCCAGCTGGGTTTTCCGGTCGGAAACCCAGTAGGCTTCCTGGATGGACGCCAAGTCGGCCACCAGGATGGACGCCAGGTAGGATACCAGCTGGGTCTGGGGTTCCATGATGGACGCCAACTGGGGTTCCAGGTTGGAAACCAGGTAGGCCAGTGCCTTTTTTCCTGAAATATCAAAGATGCATAGTTCACTTAAAACCGGTTTTGTATCTTACCAGAGGGATTCGATCTGTTAGTGTCAGCACTCGCTTTATAGACTTGTCCACTGCTTTTCGTTTAAATTTATCGTAAATTTAATCTGCCGTGGGCTCCACAAATTTAAAGGAGAATTTTGCATACGAAATCGTCTACTTTTTCCCCCACCTTAAAAAAGTAAATATGAAAATCACTTTTTACCACTGTTTGAGATTCTGAAACAAAAACCTATCTTCCAAAATTTTTTTACGTACACCATTAATCTTATAATCCGATTTCGATTACCTCCACTCTGAATCTGGAGCACTACTCTCATTTGAATACACATATGATAATAGATACCAATACGATCTGATTTAGTCGCCATAATTCTCAAAGCATTCGACATATTTTGATAGGAGTCTTCTACTTGAGACAGCCCTTCAGCCCCGTACAGCATATATTCCGTACTGTAAGGCTTCCCGCTAATGTCACACTTAAGGAACGATAACATCGCTGCTTTATGTTAACATACTCTCCTCCGTACATCATGGGAGCAGACAGTTTTAACGGACATTTATCACAGACTCTCAGATGGTGATTGAAATTTGTAACAGTGAAATACAAATTTTGCTTTATATCCCAAATTAGCTCCATCTCAAATTGATTATATCTCTTAATGACATACCAAAAAAGAACGGCAAGGTAAGTAAGGAAAAATACATTTGCTACAGAGAACGGAAAAAAACACTCACAATAATTGGTTGATGAGGGCGTGATTCATCTTTCGCATTAGTCACTTTGTTTTCGTCATTTAAGAACTCCGAGCGAGCTGCATGATCAAATTGCGATTCTGCTAGGATGGCAGAAGCACCGATTAACAAGGACAGTATTAGAGATTTCATCTCTGCTATAGCACTTCTGTTGGCAAAACAGCTTGATACATGGGGCGATGCTTTTATAAGCCTTAGAAAGGAAGATACAAAACCAAGAACAATAGTAAAAATTTGTTTCGTTACATCTTCACAAACCTCTGCGCAAAAAGATAAACAGTTTAGTTACTCAGATGTAATTCTATTTTATAAAAATTCTAGCAAACTGAAAAATACTTTTGTTCTGCGTCTTGCGACACTGGCGGTACCATACTTGTGATAATTGTCTATGTGTACTTAACACGCTCTTTGTTGGTTGCAATGAACTTATCTTTGGTTAATATTTCTGAAAAGCGGTGCCTGTCATTACAATGTGTTTGCATCTGTTTCAATACCCTATTTATTTCAGAGGTAATTTATTCGTTGCATTAAAGGGGTGTTTCTACTTTTTGTTCTGTGTCAGCGAGAAACAAAAGGTATTCATTTGTCTATGGACAAACATACCTGGTACTGCACTTGCCTCACATTATGAGTCTGCGACAAAGGTACAACTTTATCGTTGCTCGAAAGAGTATAATAAACTACAAATATGCCTCTTATCATTGAAAAAAATTATGCCCCCTGTTTCTTAGTTGACAGGCAGAAAACAGTGATTTCTTTTTGCACTGGGTAGATGCATACAAATTGTTTCGAACAAGCGCCCATGTAAAAAAGAGCTAATTTCTCTGCGCTGAATCTGAACATTTCTGTTTGAGAAGTAATTGAAAAAATTATGATATACCGTTTCGTTTCATGAAGATACTTTTTTGTGACCTTAATGCAAAGTTAACGATATAATTCTGTGCCTTTTTTGGGCTTAAGAATACGTTCTAAGTTTATTGTGACTTATTTTTTCAGCGCGTGCGAAGTAAACATGAAGAGTTGACACAACTGAGTTGACAACCAGTTTTTTGTAAAATCGTGCAGTTGCAAATCTTTTTTTTTTTTTTTTTTCAAGAATCAAGGGACAATTCAGATGTCTGATTTGCATGTCCGACCTCTATCTATGCCCAGTTTGTACTATCAAAGTGACAATTATATCAGTGGAAAAGCACTCTGAGGAAGCCCCACTGGCTTACATTTGTAGATCATGGGGGAAACATTTTCAACTCAGAACCTTTACAACCTGCAGAAACAATTCATTTTTAGGTGACATTTAACAAGTTCATGCATTTGTTCCTTTTGTGGAGCTTCAGTTTCTTGGACATAGTTATTGCAATTCTTTACTCCTTAGCCCTTGTGTTGTTCTGAAACGAATTAAGAGCTGGTGAAATTTCCAAGAGTTTGGAGAATTTTTGGGAGAACTGGCTGGCGAAGAGATTTGTCTTCCCAGGCATCGACTAAAAGCGAGAGATTTCTCCGCTCGGCTTTTTTGGTAAATTTGTCATCGCATCGTTTGCAGCTAAAAACACATGCTCTTTTTTTTAAGTGGGCATCTTGTTCATTTGACTCATTTACAAGTTTTGCTTATTTTAGCGAAATATACGAACTTGTTTTCTCTTACTCGCTTAACGAAAGAGAAAGCCGCATTTCAGAGCTATCTAATTTCAACACACGTTGTCTCCGTTTGTGAAAACTCTGTTTCAAGTAACAGAGCTCTGGATAAATGCAAATTACGATACGTGTCTTAAAGAATAGCTTTCGTACCGCGAATGTTAAATTTTAACACCGGTGGCGAAATGCTTTTATTCACGAACTTAAACCAAAACTGAACAAACAGAGTGATTCGATCGATCAAAAATATTTATCAAATCGATTCACTTTTAATATTGTTTTTTTCACCTGAGCATTTTTCTCATTCTTGCCGCAATTTCTCGTATTGTTTCTAGGTAAATATTTTAGAGTTTTAGTCAGCACATCATTAGCATTTTTACAACTGATTATATAAGCGCATGAAAATGACTGTTGAGCGGTCGAAACGTCCTTGCTTTTTATGGTTAATTTTTATAGTAGAATCCGTTTCTAAAAAATTGTTGATTCTAATATTATAATATTAATGGACTACTTTTTTCAATCTTTTCTTTCTCTTGTTACTCCGTCCCATCCATTTTATTTTCGTTTTGACGTCCATCGATTGAAATTTATGCCGACGTTCGATTCTCACTGGTTCAAGCTTGTATCATCAAGATGAATTATTCGTTTTTTGTCAATCAACTTTAGAGTTTTTCTGCAGTTCCTCAGCTTCGTCATTCCGGTTTCCGGCCCCGCTTCTTTCTAGCTAGCTCCGTTCCGTTTCTGGATGTTTCTTCTCGTCTCTGTTGGGACCAAAGCAAGCTAATATTGGAGGCGAACTTGCAAACTGCGCGCTTTATACAGATGAGCACATTGCTGAAGAAGAATACGATCGATAGGAAAAGCGGGCTTATCGTGTCCAGATGATCACCAATACTAATAACTACTGGGTCACAAAGGGTGTAACTAACAATGATTATTGGTGCTTACTCTATACCTTAAGATTTACCTATTCTCATCTTTTCTCTGATAGAACCTCTGCCCCGATATGATCAGTCAATACTGTCGGGAGGCTCAAGGTAATTGTACAAAGAAGTTGTTGTGTGCAGTCTGCAGCAAACACTGCATGGATGAAGACCCAACCCCATTCTCAAACTGATAGTATCATGTTCACTCTTTAGTAAAAGCATCCTCTTCACTCAAGATGATTATGCATGGGTAGGTTCAATGGCAAAGGATAGAAAACATTTGCAATCAGAGGTGATGGAAGTGATTCTTCAAATATCTTTTATCAAGTGAAATGAAAAGACTGAGAATGAAGTATTGAATAATTTTTGGTTTGGTTTTATTTCAAGGAAAATTATCAATTTAGTATACATGCTAACACCAACTTGTTTTCGAAAGTACAATTAATCCTTTCCAGATGGAACCTTAATTATTATTTAAATCCGTTCAGTTATTATTTTTAGTCTTGAACTCTTGATATAAATCTACTCAACTCCGAGGAAGATACAACAAAAACAAAGAGAGAAGCACAACGAAATTAACTAGTTGGAGGAAAAGATGGCATGGCAAAGGACCCTATTACGGTCTATCACGTGCTGCCGACAAACAGCCGAGGGCCTTTCCCCGCACCTCGGCATTTCAGAAAGCCGCAAGAATTTTATCTTTCAAATCGACACTCTTAATTCCCACAGTATCAACGAACGCTTTTCATGCGACTTATTTATTATTGTGTCTTTCATGTTACCATGTTCTCACCAGTAGCGAAGCTCCATCTGTGTGTTTGCTGGATAAACTTCTCACTTTGTGAAACGTCGCCCATGTTTTAAGTTTATAGTTGCTGTTTACTAAAAACAAATTTTCGAAATATGATCGAAATCTTCGGTTGTTTTATAAAAAAAGATCCATGAGAATATTCCCAGTACGTGTCCCATGGAATATCGAAATGTAGTTCGTGCTTTCCATTCCTTCTAGCAACTTGCTTAGAGAAGGTTTTTGCTTTAATTAATGCCTTGAGCCGCAGGACTTCTGTGGGTACAGAGACTGCGCAGAGGAAGGACTCAGCCCCTCCTCCTTTACCCCTCCCCCCATCCCACTTTTTTAGAAAAAAAACTTGTCAGGCTAAGCATGCCCCTATCTCCTGCATTAGTTAGCTGCCATTATGTATATCATGAATAACCTTGATTTAAGCAATAAAATCGAATCAACGGTTAAGAATATATGAAGATCATATATTTGAACTGCGGATAAAGACATGAAT